AAAAAAAAAAAAAAAAATGTTGGAAAACGTAGCTTAAAGGAAAATTAATGGTACCGCACTGCGGAGATAGTTGGACTAAACATTAGAACTAGTTCAGGTATTTTTAGTTGAAATGAAAAATGCGCATGAGAAGGTAAAGGACAAAAATGATAATTCATTACCAAGTACGAATGAATTTACAAATCTTTGATAACAAAAATTGAGGATATTTTCAAAAGTGAAGTAAGACAGCATTCAGAAAAGTGAAACAATACTTTTTGCAGGGAAAACATTTCGTTTCTCTTTAAAATATTGAAATTATTTCGAACTATTCTATGAATTTGCTTTACATCGCACGGGAAATAATGCGAATTTTTACACAAATTTCAGATTCTTTCCAATGAAAATGTCATGAGAAATATGAAATTTCCTATAAAAGCATATTGAATCAAGCATTTGGTTTTTCTTTTTTTTTTTTCTTTTTTGGGAGCGGAAATCTGTACATGCGCGTTTGGTTTTCTTGTTGGTCTTGTTGGTGAATACTTCACCTTTATATAGGTGCAAAAATACAGTTGAGAGTGGCAAACGGTACATTTCACGTCTTGTCATTTTAATCTTCCTTCAACATGCCCAGAAGTATGTGGCAAGAAATTAGGAGGGAATTCTGAGGTTAGCCCTTACCTTCCCTCTCTTGACAAGAGAGGGAAGGTAAGGGCTAACCTCAGAATTGATAAGGGAAGAGAGTAATATCATGATTGATATACGGAAGTCTCATTTCCGTCTTCAGTAATACCAAAATTCAGCGCTTTTTGTGCACAAAGTAGTATGCATCCAGTACCTCTGACAACTTTGATTTTTTACACTTTGGAGACTGTAAATTGTTCATTGCATGAACAGAAGGGGAACGATTTTCTTGTACACCTTTGATTTTGCCATCCGTCCCACTTCAGTTCCAACCAAATATTCAAATTTACTACCTAGAAATCATACGAACTCATTGTGTTGCTATATGACAGCTGTCAAGCTATGAAGTCCACAGTTATCATGCTCTAGAAAAGCTATTGTACACATGTCATCATAAAAAGAATCAGTGACGCATATGTAAACCATGAAAAGGGTCAGAGGAACAGACTTGCTTAAATTGATAACATCAAAATCATTTTGACATCTGAACAAGATAGCCGACGGAAAACTGCAGTATGCTATGAACACAGAAATTTGCTCAACTTTTGAATCCAGGATGAACACATTTTTCAAAGATGTCACCAATAAGATCACCTGTTTGATACCGATTTTCAGGGCAGGGCAGCTGTCAAAGAAGTGTAAGATCAATTTTTCAATTCAGGTTCAATTCAGACAGCACAAAAATCACAAATTTTCCTAGGAACCATTAACATGAGACTTGACACTTCCTTCAAAACACAATCCCTCAACTTCAAAATGCTATCATTACTCCGTCCGAAACTGTTATTGTGCGATTGGTACTAACAAATGTTTTAACAAATTTGTAAAATGCCGCCGCAAACGATTCAGACGCTTAAACCAAACGGTCAATACCATCAGTCCTTTCATAAACAATGGGACAGATGTGAGCGCAAATACAGATCGCAAACATGCTTGAAATAATCCAAAAAAAGTTCCGACGAAGTAAAGAAACATGTCTTACATAAATAAACATCAAAATGACCCAAATACGCAAATCTTTCCTGCGTAGAGGCAATACTAATTTTACATACAAAAACATGATCCCTATTCGCACCATCCGTATTATACACCATAAATTATACACTTATTTGATATTTTAAGAGCAGCATCTTTTCCGTCATCAAACTATTGTGACAAAATGGTGATATTTGTGACTCAAAGAAGGCATAAACTACTAAAAAATCTAGTAAGTAGATCGCATAAGAAACAACAAAATGATGTTCGAGACCTGCTACATAAGCTAAAATACCATGTAAGTTAAACAAGCAATTTGAACACTCAGCAAATTCATCGCTAATTTGTGGGATAAACATGCTTTACCATACCGTGACTTAATTGGCGAGTAAAACGAATTTTAAATATTGCTTAAATAATAAGTAGTATTTTGTTAAAAGTCATTATACAAATGATGATATGAAAAAATGTTCAAGTTTTTAATCAAGAGGTGCGAATTAACACCGGTAAGGAAGAAAACGGTATAAGTGGAGTTGATGAATTTAGAGCTGAGGCGATTGAATAACATTCCAGAGCTTCTTCAAAACGCCCATCTTCCGACAGGATCATCCCAAGAGCTTGCCATGAATCATTGTGCAATGGATCAATCTGTACAACATCTCTGAAGGAAACACAATTTCTAGATGATCTGGAACAGGGTCTAACAATGTAAAAAGTACATATTACAACCCAGAACTAATCAGGGGTTCAGGAAATGAGTTTAGACGAATAAGAAATAAGTTTTTCATCATTTCGACCAAAAATTTATTACTTTTGAGTTAACAGTATTCAGAAAAAAAAGAACATTATAAGATTTGAAAAAATTATAAGATCATGAGGAAAAAATTATAAGATCATGAGAGATTTAAAACAGATAAATGTTCAATTTGTTTCATTAAAAGAAAATTACAATAATCAATCCAAAAAAGTCCCTATCTCTTTTCACAGATAAGGCACACATAACTTTTGATTACTTTAAGTAATACTCTTATTTGTTTAATTTACTAACCTCAACATCTTTTCAGCCATAGAAATATTTCCCTCCAGTCTATAAATACGAGCTAAATGCCGCAATGAAGACACATGAGAAGGTGCTATTGCAAGTGCTCCTAACAGAGAAGCCTTTGCATTACTTCGTAAATGCTCACATTTCGCAGTATTCTCACACTTATCCGCTCGAGCTGCTAACAACCGGCCCTGAAGCATGAAATGTCGGTAATAACTTTGGTGAAACATAAAAAACGACAATAATGGGAACTGCTATGTGCAAGACATAAGATCTTTACCAATTTTCCCACTAATGTAATTTGAAATGAGTGTATGTACATGCACAAGAATAAAGTCACATCAGGAAAATGTGATAATTCATATGACGCAGAAAATGATTTCATCCGAAGACTTAAGTTATAGCCGGAAACCTTGATATATAATGTTTGGTGTGAACTTGGGTATAAAGCGGATGCCTCCTCAATACAAGACCGTACATCTTCCATGCGGTCGAGATCAAGGAAAAGTTCAGCAAGTTCCAGCCAAATATTTGCCTAAAAAAATGAGGAACATACTTTCATAAAACTTTGTAATAAGAATACAAAAAGGCAAAAATTATGATGGTGGGGCAAGAAAAAAAAGTAGGGTTTGGGAGAATGATTATCATATTCGACAAGAAAAAATTACCGGATCAATAAAGCAAGACAGATACCTTCATCATAAAATGAGTTTCCACAGTTCTTGATTGTCTAGAGCACAGTGAAACAGTCGAAGTTCCATAATCAGATGTCCCTTGAGTTGTATACACAGATCCGCTATCTAAAATACGTGAATTATAAACAAGAACACATTAAAGCTCCGTGGATCGGTAGTAGTTTTGGTGCAAAGAAGGATAATCTATAGAATGAGCTGATCAGTTAAAATTAAACTGGGGACTTTCCAGAATTTCATAATCAAGTTGGCTAGCAATTTTAGGTAGCAACATCATGTATTACAAGGCATTTCCTCTGTCCTACATTTTAATTGAAAAAAATATAACACACCGGCAACATCACCGGCTCCAACACTAGTAGACATGCTCGCAAGCGCAGAGGATGATAAAATACCCAATGAAGCAGCAGCAATAAACGGTGTTGCGGTTACAGCATCACGACTGCTCACTGAATGCAGTAAACTTTCATTCCGTATATTTTTTTGGCTTTCTTCGCTGCCTAAACAGAAGAGACTCGCAAGATCGATTTCATTCATCATTCTAATTTCAAAATTCTCATAGTTGGCAGATTTCAGATAACTCAGTAATAGCATCACGATGAAAATCCAAAAATTATAAAAATACTGTTAATCCAAAGATTTCTACTTTTAGCATCCGTGAAAAATGACGCTTCTACATTATACGCATTTGCAAACAATGAAAAACGTAAAAGTTTTTTAAAAGAAAAACAACAGTACCAGTTCGTGCAATGTATGCATTGGGTTCTTCGAAAAGATTTGTCTCTCGATTTTTCCAAAAATATAATAAGTGTTGCGATGATGTCAAGGCCTCATCAACACGACCTATTTTAGGAAATAAATAACAGATTTGCAATTCTCCTTAATGATATACGTAACCAATTGTCTCCGAAAGACAACTGTTACATTTAGAAGACAACTGTTACATTTAGAAATGAATGTGAAAAACGTGGCATTACTTAAATACTTAAGCCGCCTGCTAACTTCGAGAAAAATAACAATAAACAACTACATTTTTTATAAGTTATAAAAAAATATTAAGCAAGGCCATGTAAAACCAATATTAATTTTTACTTTTTAGAAAATTGAAATTTACCGAATTTAACTTCAAGCATTAATTTAAGCACAGTAAGTGGATAGTTGGTCGGGAAATCCTCTAAAGCGTCGATAATCAATTCAAGCGCTGCTTTGTAATCTTTCTGGGCAGTAAAAATTAGTGCAAGAAGCATTATTGCAGGCGGCAATTCCGGATTCAATTCCAGAGTTCTTTCACACCAATCACGAGCTGCTTGTAAGTCGCGAACTAAAAAATATTCTCAAAATTGGAAGAAAAAAACAGAGATTTGAACCTCAGATTTTGTATAATCAAGAATAAATCACAAAATCCTTCGATAAATTTTCCTTTCGGATCTCACTTCTAACTTACTGTAATGGTCCTGTATCTTGAAAATCAATTATTTAAAATCCATTTTCCTTTTCTACAGTTCAAGAATTAAATGTAACAGTTTCAAAAATCACGACATTGTTTTCTATGTTTTCCAAATCTTTCAAAAATACCGATAGCATGCTGTCGGGCACAATAGTAATGAGTTAGATCATCACATGGATCCATTGCTGCAGCATTTTCAAGTAATTTTATCACTTCCAGCCGCATTTCATTTCGATTGTTATATCGAACTACGGTTTCTGCTTTCATGCTTTAAATATCTCAATTATTAGGATACCGGATTATAGAAAAACATCGCCAAGAAATGTCGCTCCCGATATATTTTCGCATAGTTCATAATCTCTTAGTTATCTTTGCAAATGAAATAATGTCTAATGGTCGGGTTTTTATTCTTCAAAATCTTGATTCTGCCATACAGGAAAAAAGGACTTTCTTTTAACAAAACTTATTAAGACCATCCGACAAGTATCTGATTCTACACGTTCACACCCGAACAAATACAAGTAAATGAACAAATTTGTATATAAATAGATGATTTGATTTTAATTATTGATCCATACCTTAGTGCAATAGCTTTTAACAACAAACATCTTCCAGAAAGCCAATTTCCTTCGCATAATTCGATAGCTTTTTCAGCATGAGCTATAGCTGAAATACGACCATAAAGAGTATTGTTTTTTGGAAAAAATTAGCCTGGAAAAAACCAGCATAAACATCCCTGAAACATCCAAATATACTTATTTTAAAGGGAATTAAGTTCTAGACGACAAACTCTTTCAAAGATCGCCTCTTCATGCTTGGCTTAGAAAAATTGTTGTAGAATAAAGTCCAGCATATTCCGAACTGACTAAATTTTTTTTAGAAAAGAATGATTTTATGGTCTCCGCAAAAAGCAAATTTTCATAAAACACCAGTAATTCAAAGATTTTTTTTTTCAGAAAAGCTCCCTGTCCTACCTTCCTCATACTGTCCAAGATGCTCAAGTGTAATGTTGGCAGCAAAAATGTGCTGTGCAAGCGCACTATCATCATACTGCTCGATCGCTAAGCACTGTGACAAAATTCTTGAAGCTCTTATATATCTTCCGTGGCAAAATAACGTCAAGGCGAACTGGAACCTGGAAAAGTGGAAGAAATTTTTGAGACCACCGGAAATATTTAGAATATTGAAAGTTTGCATCCAAAAGATTAGTGTATTTACCATAAATATTTGTCTTCATTTGCAAATTTCATTGCTTTTTCATGAATACTTGACAAAAGTTCGTACTGTCGTAGAGCCGATAATACCTAAATGCATATCTCAAGTTGCCTAAGTATTTGCAGAAATGGTTGTAATAATTTTTTAGCAAATCAACAATGGCCTGAGAGAACATTGTTGTTTGAGGTGCAGATGCTCACTTTGCATTTCAACACAATTTTGCATATCTTAAATGCAAAGAAGATATTTTCTGATAATCATAGTAGTTAGAGTGGCAAACCAGAAAATACCTACCCTGAAAAAGGAAAGCAAGAGCTAATATTTAGCTTCATGTATGTATGGGAAATAAATCTAATAACTTGGCATTAAAGTTGTTATGCTCATGGCGCAAAAGAAATCATTTTTGAGACGTTTCGAAGCCATAGTTTGATTTCACTTTCCACGTAAGTACTAGTCTAAACTTAATCATTACTTTTTTGATATAATTTTTGATTTTGACGCTGCAGTGCTTGCAGAAACGAAAACTTATAAGTGCAGTAGAACTTTTAAAGACTATGTAAGATGTCAAAATCACGGCTAGGAAATTCATAAACCTATGAATTTGAGATTTCCCCTTTTAAGGACCGCAAAACATCCATTACTGTTTGCGCAATCAATTCCAAAATGAAGAGATGTATTGAGTTGATCAGTAAGTTACTGAATAGAAGCAATGACGTTATTATTTAAATGTTTCCAAACAAAAATATAAAATCAAACCAAAGTGAGTAAATTGTACACTGATTTAGCTATGTGTAGTGAATTCTGACGACTGGCCGCCAGCTCTTCGGCTCGGCTCAATACAACGTCTTTTGTGGCTAGAACCTAAAATAAGACAATTTCCAAGCAAGCAACATCTCATTTCTATTTAGACAATACACAAAATTAGAAACAATCATTTGTCTACCTCACTAATTAATAGTAGCAGTAAGATTTCTTCAATCCTCGAAGCGGGGGAGAAATAACTCCTATGTGACCCAGTATAAAACCTGCAAAAAATACCCAGCTGCAACTATTTTAAAACCAAAATACAAAAACCAAACATAGAACAGTTTCTAATTCAGTATGGCTGATTGGAATGAGGCAATCTGAACGAGATTATGCGATTTCTCCATCAAAGATGTTGTAGTTTGTTTTACAGAAAGTTATCAAGCAAAATCTTTGGAGTTGTAAGATGGAGAGAAAAATTTTTTCATTGTCAGATCGTAATCTAGCAAGATATTAACACTTTGAACTACATCATTTTTTAGCAAAGAGTAGTCAGTATTGCTGGATAGATTTTCAAATTCCTTCTAATTAAATACTCGAATAAATCGACTAGTTAGAAAACCTTAGGTTTTGTGATTTTGTGCTAACAGATTGCGACTCCATGTAACCAGAATCCGGCATTCCTCTGATCAACACTTCTGCTAACTGCCGACTTAATCTGAAAATCTGCTCAACTAGAGATTGAAAAATTGAAGCTTGTATGAAAACAAGAAAAAATGCCTTTTTGTCACCAATCTTCGAACTTTGCCGACTAAATTTTGCTAATTTAAAGTCGAAAGATGGATTGGAAGTTCCATACACCTTTGCTGTAATTTTTCGCCTACTGCTTTATCGCCTAATGATGTCATGATTCGGCGGTACCATTCAACTCCTTCCTCATCCCATGGTCTGTCAATTAAATTATGTCTCAGACGTAACAACGGTACTCTTTCTAGTGTTGTTTCCAACAACTCTCCTGTAAAATCTTTGAATGTAAAACAAATGTATTACAAGCATAACGTTATGATTTTGTTAGATTAAGGTAAAATTGCAGCTTTTTATAACTCATTTATTGTAGTGAATTAAAAAATACGATGGAGGCATATGATAACAAAAAATGGAGGAAACAATATGTCACAGTTACCCATTCTATCAATATGCAGCTTTCCATTTGTTCCATTGGTATTTGACGAAAGCATACCATTCCCTAAAATTTTATAACAGTAGATAAAATCAATCCGCTTAATTTCAATAAATTGAAGGTATAAGAAAAAGTACTAACTGCTCTGTATATTTATTGATTTTTCGAGCTCCTGGATGTATGATATTGCAAGTTCGGCTGACTTTTCAAAACAAAAAAGTGCTCTCATCCGAGATTTTTCCAAATCTAGCTTTTTCAAGCGCTTTACCGTTGCCTCGATGGAAAACCCTTCAAAATCACAACTGAATAATTTCGTTTACAATTGAAAAATAAGAACGTATGTCCTTAAATGCTGTGACCAAGATGTTGCAAACTTCAAAGTATTTAACAAACCTGTTATAAAACATGAAATATTTTCGAATTAGTCATCATATGAATGAATATGGAAATCTCCGTATTTCTCTTTTCTTTATCTTTTCAGTAAAAATACAAGTTTTCAACCCATGTTATCCGAAACCATTGCCGGGTCTTTGCAGGTTCTCCAAAGCAGTTTCACTGTTTGAAAAAACCAAAACCTTTTATAGCATAAGCTTCGGCAACTAAGCGCAGACCGCGAAGTGATTCAAATGGTGTGTCGCCAAATTCCAGTCGAGAGTTTTCAATGTCCTGCATCGCCTGTTCATACTCTGCACTGTAAAAATTGTTCGTGTCTCCGGTGCATATAAAATTCATATAAAATTCAGATATAAAATTCAGCAATTCGATTCAGAAAACTTTGAAAACCTTCAAAAACACTTCCTGTTTGGAACTAATATTAGCAAAGATGCCAAGGATTATTCAAAAAAATGAATTTCGGAAATTAATCGCATATCACAACTATCATAACCTCCGCATGTGTTACTTGTTATGCCTCGAAAATCCAGAAACTGATTTAACACCTAATTTAAACGGAAATAGTAAAGGATACCAATAATAATGTAGTTTCGCAAGCAACAAATTCGCTTCTAAATAAATTGTCGACTTTTCGGCCACTAAAGACTGCAGTGTATTGTGTAAAAGTTTTGCTGCTTCCTCCAAATGCTTCTTATTTTCTGCTTTTGGTTCCAAAAGTTCTGAAAGAAGGTATTTTCCTACTTGAAATCGAAGTCTAAAAACTTGAGGAGTCATCCAATCAGCTTACAATACTTCTGGAGAGGAACCCCTATCGCAATATGAAAATGATAGTGATAATGCAGTGATGAGTCACGCTACATTCTGAATTGTCTACAGCAATCCAGCTTATTTGCTTTCTGGCCTCATCGATTTTCGACTACCTGAACTATGATCGATAAACGATTCGATGATGTATTCTGCTTGCAACAAATCCCCGTACTGTTGCATCCCACTGTTTTTGGAGCGTACAGAAGGTAGCACATCGCCCAATCTTCGCCAATTACATTCCGAACGACATCTGTCCACTTCCGCTTCTAGTCTGCTTCCCCTTAGTTTTGAACCCATTAGTTCTGTAAATATATTGTTGGCCCTCATTACTATGTCTCACGCAAACAACAAATTTCGGAAGTTAATCAGAAAACACGGGACGCATAATGTACACTACCTTTTGGCTTAGAAAACACCCATCACGCAGGAGTGGATGACAACTTGAGGAAGGATCTTAGCAATATGCCTCCCCAAAAATAATATCATGAAGGAAGAGTTCTTCTGGATCCGGCCACTCTCCCGAGTGCATGTTTTCGTTTCAGGAGCACTTCAACTGAAGTTCAAATAAACGCATGTTTTTATATACCTGTACTGTATAGATGTCATACCTGCGACAGGTAAAACCATGCTTTTCTATATGTAGAGGAGAAGTAGAGAAGCTTTGCGATCATCGTGTAAGGTTATCCATGTTGCAGACGTGCGAAAACACCAAAATCTGTTACGTCCCTCATTGTTAGCTTATCTCCACAATCGCCTTCATCTTGCTTTTAGGGAGGACAATGCATTGTCCTGTCTGGTCGATATTATATAAATTTTATTTTAACAAAATTTGATGTCGTTAATCCATCAAGTGGTGTATTTTTTGTTGCATTCAGAAATTCCTTTTTTACAACAAATTACTGAGTTTTGATGTATTCCCTGAAAAATATTCGTGAATGCAATTTATGGGTGCAATTTACTTTTCTCTTTATTATTTTTCATTTCGTTTTTTAACTGTTTTTATTTTTCAATGCATTCTATGTCTATATTTTCTCTTTTCTTCTTCTTATAAATAAATTTTTGCTATTTTCTTTGTTTTGCAATTTTACATATTTTGTTATGACTTTCTTTCTTCTTTTCCAGTACAATCGATCTGTTCTGGTTCATCAAAATAATGCTTCACAAAAGATCAAACTTAGGTCGTCGTATTCGTAGGGCAGAAGAAATGCGACGAGTAATTGCAAATCAAACTGCGAAAGAACAGGTATCAGCGAAACAGAGGAACAGACAAAGAATGGCTCAAATACGTGTCGAGGAATAAGCCGAGTGACATTCAGTCACGGTTCTGCGTACGACGGTCGCATTCTGCAACTTTAGATCAACTTCGTTTCTACAGAGTGAACGCAAAGGCTAAGTTCTTGTCTGGAATACTTTATTTATGGTAAC